CTAAATATAATTCTTTTAAATTCTTTATCAGGGAGTTCCAATGCTGCATCTTCCTCAGGGATGTGTTTTGGGTCTGTATCCTGGTCCCTTGTTTCTCCTGCTTTATCTTGCTTCTTTGTGTGGAGTGTGATGCTCTGTTGTCTCCAAGGCATTGTGATGTTTTTGTGTTTATATTTAACTGGTGATTGTATGTTGGTGTGACTTGCTCACAATTTTTGTTTTCTTTGTATGTTATCTATGCAGGCAGGGTACTGTGCTGTGCTCCTCTATTCACTAGTTGACAGCACTTACACACTCACCACCTGTCTCCTTTCCTGTTGTCAACCTCTTGTATGTCCTTGCTGACCCTGGCAAACAGAGCCTGTTCTTAGGTCCCTGGAATTCAAATTAGAATGGTATCACTTTAAAATCCAAAATGGCTGCTGCTTGTAAACATTCAAAATGGCTGCACCCTCGGTCACTTTAAATATCCACAATGGCCACCACTTGTAAACATTCAAATTGGCTGCTCCCTCGGTCACTTTAAATATCCAAAAATGGCTGCGCCCTCCAGACAGCAAGAAGTCCACAGCTCAGGTTGTCTCCCTCCTTGCTGTTTCCCTTCCTAGTCATAGGCCACCAGAGCAGTTGTCCCTGCAGCCCTTGCTGACCGGGACTGATCTTTAGGTCAAGTCTCAGGTCCCAACACCATTTGGAAATATTCAGGCTGTTGGTCTCATCAGAGTAGCTGACAGTCCTCAGCTCCAACCATCTCTGTACTGTTTTGTTCAGGTTTTTCCACTAGTTGGTGCCTAATCCACTTCTGTATAGTTCCTTTCAAAGCTCAGGGTTCCAGGATTATCTTCTGTATTTGTGTCAATTGGTTTTTGTTTTCTTTGTTGAAGAGGGTCTGTGTCACTTGTCTGCCTATTCCTCCATCTTACCGGAAGCCCTGGGTACATAATTCTTGGTTGAAATTTTTCTCTTTCAGTGTTTTATATATACCATCCTATTGTCTTTTCATCTGCATTGCTTCTGTTGAGAAATCCAAGCTTAGTCTTATTGGTTGCCCCTTGCAGGTAACTTTTTGTTTTTCCCATGCTGCTCTCACGATTCTTTCTTTGTCTTTGGTTTTGGTGAGTTTGATGATAATATGTCTGGGTGATTTTCTTTTGGGGTTTATCCTGTTTGGGGTTCATTGGACTTCCTCAATGGATATATTCTAATCTTTCATCATACCAGGAAAATTCTCTTCCAACAAATCTTCGACAATTTTCTTTGTGGTTTTATTTGTCTCCTCCTGTTCTGGAATTCTGATGACATGCAGGTTACTCCTTTTGATGGTATCCCTTCATTTTGTTTTGATCTCTTTTCTGATTTATCCCTTTCCAGAGAAGTGTACAGGTATTTTCCTTTAATCTCCCTAATTCTGTCTTCCACTGATTCAATTCTGCTCCTGTGCCCGTTCAATGTCTTATCTATTTCTGAAAATTTAGTATTGATCTACTGGGTTTCTATTTGTAGATTCTGTATCATTCTAATTTTTCATTTATTTTGTCCTTGTATTGTTTTTTGAAATTGTTCTAGGGTTTTCTGTGTGTTTCCTTTGATCTGTCTCTCAATTTGAAGATACCTAACTATAATTCTTTTGAATTCCTTACCAGGGAGTTCCAATGCTGCATCTTCCTCAGGGATGTGTTGGGTCTGTATCCTGGTTCCTTGTTTCTCCTGCTTTATCTTGCTTCTTTGTATGGACTGTGATGCTCTGTTGTCTCCAAGGCATTGTGATGTTTTTGTGTTTATAATTAATTGGCGATTGTATGTTGGCGTGACTTGCCCACAATTTTCACTTTGTTTTGTTTGTATATTATCTACGTCAGCAGGGTACTGTGCTATGCTCCTCTACTTACTAGGCGACAGCACTTATACACTCATCACCTGTCTCCTTTTCTGTTGTCAGCCTCTCATATGTCCCTGCCAACCTTGGCAAACAAAGCCTATTCCTAGGTCTTTGGAATCCAAATGAGAATGCTGTCACTTTAAAATCCAAAATGGTTGCCATCTGTAAAGATTCAAAATGGCTGCACCCTCGGTCACTTTAAATATCCAAAATGGCTGCACCCTCCAGACAGTGGAAAGTCAACAGCTCAGGTTGTCTCCCTCATTGCTGTTTCCCTTCCTAGTCATAGGCCACCAGAACAGTTGCCCCTGCAGCCCTTGGTGACCGGGGCTGATCTTTTAGGTAAAGTATAGTTCCTTTCAAAGCTCAGGGTTCCAGGATTACCTTCTGTATCTCTGTCAGTTGGTTTTTCTTTTCTTTGTTGAAGAGGGTCTGTGTCACTTGTCTACCTATTCCTCGATCTTACCAGAAGTCCTCTCTTGAATGATTTTACTGAGTTCTTTCAGGGAACTGTCTGTGTTCTCTTTGTTTCTATTTGGGGTTTCCTTAGGTTCTTGTAGAGTTCTATAAACATACCTTCTAAATTCCTTCTCAGATAATTCTATTGTTTCCTCTTCCTTCATGTTTAATGTGACCTTTCTTTGGGGGTTTGCTTCTAATGCCTCGTTCTGTTTTGTTTGATTGATTTGAGGTTGCTTCTTGTTTCCTAGACATTTCAAGGTTGTCTTTAACTGTTGGTTATGCAGTGATTTGTTTTATGTCTTGGTTTTATGATTTCATATTTTGAAAAGGTGGAGCTGGTATATTTTATTTTTTTGGTTATTAATTCATGTGTGCTGGGTTGCTCTGAAGTTTCCTTTGTAATGATGGAATCACTGTGTGGAATGTGGATACAGATCTCTGCTCATTGTGAAGGGGACTTAGGATTGGAACAGGCAAGTGCCGTGGTGGCTTAATGTGGTCCTTCTATTGGGTGTGGCAGGGGAGAGGTGGAAAGAGGAAGAAAAGAAAAAAAAAAAAAAGCTCCAAGGTACCAGCACATTTCTGGGGTTCGGGTCAGCTGCCAGTGATGACATTATACTATCACTCACAGGCCTGCAGCTCAAACTCGGCCAACACCCCAATGGTAAGGGGGCTGCCACTTTCTACCTGGTTCAGACAGCCACAAAAGCCCCATACTCTGGGCTCCTTCATGCCAAAAAGCTGTCCTGGAAGAGCTGGACCCCAGCCCTGCACTGCGAGATCATCCCAGGGCCTGCCCACCTGCAGCATGCTTCCCTCTCTGCTCCCAATTCAGTGTCAACCTGAGCCAGAGGGGTCTCTGCTACACTTCTCGGAAATGCTCCCCACCTACTTAGCACAGGTCCCAAAGTTACCAACAGAAGTGCTGTGGGCAGACCCCTGGAGTGGCCACTGGTCCTCCAGTGCTCCTACTCCACTGCCCACAGAGCCCTCCATTCTTCCATTCTGTTGGCTTGCATGCTGCAGGGCAGGTTTATTTATTTTTATTCTTCCCATTTGTTTACCTTCACTCTCCCTGCCCACTAAATCTGGTCTTCTCCAACTTAATGAGCTGTTCACAGTCCCAGAGTCATGGCTTCAAATTGCTCTACCTAGTTTTTCAGGCATTAAGATGTGAGAGGGAACAAATGTGTGGGCTACAGGTAAGACACCATCTTCCCTCTGTCAAATAAATTTTAAAACTGTTAAAATGAGACTGCCTTCTTTCAGACAGCTTGTGTACTGGCAAGACAGAGTACTGGACTAATTTCAAACTTTACGTATTTATTAGTATCACTGTTGTTGTTGTTGTTATGTGCTGTCGAGTCGCCCCCGACTCATAGCGACCCCTCCTTGGGTTTCCGAGGCAGTATCACTACAGAAGTAGATTGCCCAACCTTCCTTCCAAGGAGTGGCTGGTGGCTTTAAACCACCAGCCTTCTGGTTAGCAGTCAAGTGCCTTAGGCACTACGCTACCAGAGTTCCTATTAGTATAACTAGATACCATATTTTAGTTCGCTTTTATACTTTTAAGTGTGAAAATTATAGAAAAATGGATATTGCCATGATGTTTTTTTTCCTTTCTTTGAAGAGCTATAGATTGACTCATAAGGTTTTTTTTTTAAATCATTTTCAGCTAATTTGTTTTTATGTTTTATACAGTATTTTGCTTTAAAAGGATAGGATAATAACAGTTAACTCATTCAACTTTTCCAGCAACCCTGTGAGACTGATTTTATTTTCCCTAGTCTACAGATGAGGCTTAGCAAGGGTAAGTAACTTGCCCCAGGTCAAACCAAAACCAAACTCACTGCCATTGAGTCAATTCCAACTCATAGCGACCCCCATTGGGTTTCCAAAGCTTTAAATCTTCACAGAAGCAGACTGCCCATCTTTCTTTCACCTGGTACATAACTTTCACCTGGTACATAAATAACAGGATGAGAGCTGGAACCAGGAATGTCTGTGATTCCAAAGTCCCTGCTTCAGTGTGAATCCCAGAGAGATGAGGTGTAGCAGATTCTTGTTAGTGATTCTTAACAAACTGGTTTAACAATCTTTTTTTTTTCTATAATGATTTCCTATTACATATTATATATTTATATGATTAAAACAAAGGAATAAACAATTCTTTTTTAACGTTTTTATATACACACAATGGAGTTCTGATGGCGTAGTGCCTAAGGCACTTGACTGCTAACAGAAGGCTGATGGTTCAAACCCACCAGCCATTCCTCAGAAGGAAGACTGGGCAATCTACTTCCCTAGTGATACCACCTTGGAAACCCAAGGAGGGGTCACTATGAGTTGGATATGACTTGAGGGCAGTGCGTAACATCCGTATACACACTACCACAGTAATAGTTTTTCAAAACAACTTTAAAAATGATCTGATTTTAGCAAGTGAAATTTATTTAAATGCCATCAGCATACTTCTAATTAAGTAGTATAATTCACATTAATTAGCAAAAAGATACATGAAGAGTTAATTGTGCATCTTTACCACAATTGTTGGGTCATTATCCTATTGTAATGGCTTCCAAAAAAAAAATTTCTCACATGTTGAATTCTAGATTCCATATTTTTCCATCAGCTCTTTTGCTTTAGAAATATAGGCACTCATGGCATCTTCCTTTGACAACCCTAGAAAGAGAATAACAGATTATGTCAGTGTTTGTTGTATTGGGAAATTGAGGGGGGAAAAAAAGTTGTTTAAGAATTATAAACCTTTTTGGAGGTTCCAGGCTTCCCATTTAGCCTTGCCTTTTAAATCTAACATTACTGGACAGTCTGCCAAAAGAAGGAAGATAAAGTTTCAAGTTTACTTCTTACGTATGTTCCTATAAACATTGTTCCAACTGAACATGACATTGTTTTCAAAAGGCTAATATGATACCAATATCAATATCTCCAATTACAGACTGTTTGTAGAGCCCATAGAGTTCTTTCAGTTCTTCATCTTCAGGCCTGCTCTTCAGCTTCCTCACGTCTTCTGCAGCCCTATCAAAATCGGCCTAAGGCAAAAGAAAAAAAAAAAAAAAAAGTCACACAGTGTATGTGCTAGCATTAGGCAGGACCATCATAATCTGTGCTATTTACCACCAAGCAGTGGGAACTCAGATAGGAATAAGAAAATTTCAAATAGAAATGGACTACTCCTACTCTGGGCCCACCAAATATTCTATTTTAGCTCATGGATACCTCTCCTGGTATTTAGACAAAATATGGGGAACTAAAAATTCTTAACACTGGAAACTTACATTTGTGTTTTAATGAAAAAAGGCATTACACCCAAAGTAGCTTAAAAAAAACCTTTTTGTTGTAATTGAGTTTACAGAGCAAATTGGTTTTCCATTCTACTGTTCATACACGTGACATTGTAGTCTCCACAATGTAACAGCACTCTGGCCACTTCGTCACTTCTCTTCCCTGTGTTTACCATTTCCTCACCACCCTCAGAGACACTTCCCTTTCTCTTCTTCCCAAATCCACACTTTACTAAATGAAGTTTTGCTACCAATCCATACATTTGGCCAGGGCATTTATTTTCAGTGCCTACTTTCCCACATTCTTCAACATCAGTCTAACAGTTAACACACATGACTGCTAACTAAAAGGTTGGAGCCTACCCAGAGATGCCTCAAAAGAAATGATTAGTGATCTAGGTACTTTCAAAAGATCAGCCACTGAAAACTCCATGGAGCAGAGTTCTACTCTGACATACATGGGGCATTGCCATCAATCAGAGTCAACTCCAAGACAGCTGCTTAGTTGACTAGCTATTTTCTGAGGGCAGAACTTCTGATTAGTTAAATTGCTTGTATAGATTCATTGAAAAACCAAAACCAAAAATTATAAAGCTTATTTCAATTGATTTCCAGAAAAGAGAAGTTACTTAACCAATTGACTTCCTGGAAACTCTGTATGCAAATACTGTTGTTAGCTCCCCATTCCTGGGCCATGGACTGCTAAGCAGTCAAAACAGTTTTACCACTCCTGTATGCAAATATACTGAGTAGTAAACCTTGTCTGCCCTGTTCCTGACTTACTGTAAAAAAAAAAAAAAAAAAAAAAACACTGACCTACCTTCTTTCCCATACCCCTGGTTCTTAGCCCATGGTTCAGCCAGCACCATCCCCCTTAGAAATTCACACAAGTAAAAGGTCCTCTGTAGCCTGAACTATCCTAGACCCCTTATCCCTTTCCCCAGTGAATCTCTTATATTATGCCACACAAAGGCATTTGTGATTCTTTAACTTTTTATTGTGATTTGAGTGAAAGCTTACAGAGCAAAATGATTTTCCATTCAACAATTCATATGCATTTTGTTTCATGACACTGACTGTTGATTCTTTTTCTTTTGTGTGTGTGTTACCTGTCTAAACTGGAGATAAACAGGAAGTGTCAATACCCTGAGTATCAAACAATGGAAGCCAAATGAGGTATTCTACACTCACTCCCTCATATTTCTTTTTCCAATATATTTTTTTCCAATGCCAGACAGTCCCTTTTGATCCAAAGATCCAATGGCCTAGTAAAGAAAGTAGATAGGTCTACTGTAACATTAGAACCCTGGTGATCTCAGCAGAATTTCTGGATAAAATTACTATCCAGCCCCAAAGACAGGACAGTAGCACAACTAGAAGAGTTGTTTTCTGGTGAACAAAAACCACCTGGAAATTGGAAACCTGGGTCACATACTTAAATAATATTGAAAATGCCTCAGACTCCTAATATCCCTACAGGGCTCTGAAAGCATGGGTACATGAGACAAAGGATAAGCCCCTTGCCTTACCTTTTTGAATGTCTTTCTGGCAAATGTCAGCTATTTTACACAATGTCATGGTTAAGAACACAGCCTCTGTAGCTAGACTACCTGGACGTCATCATTTAAGAGCTGTGTGACCTTCAATAAGTTACTTAATCTCTATTCCATTTCTTCATCTGAAAAATGAAGCAATAACAACAATAAAAAGTTAACAGACTTCCAGTTAGCTGGTGGAATAGGCAGACAAACTACACAGACCCTCTTCAACAAAGAAAAGAGAAACCAGTTGACAAAGAAGATGATCCTGGAACCCTGAGCTTTGAAAGGAAAGATACAGAAGTGGATTGAACACCATCTAGTAGAAAAACCTGAATGAAAAGAATGAGTAAGGAGACAATTGAAGCTCCTGACTGTCAACTGTCCTGATGGCACAAACAGCCTGAATATTTCCAAGTGGTGTGAGGACTTGAGAATTAACCTAAAAATGGCCCTGTTCACCAAGGGCAGCATGGACTACTGCATGGGTAGCTAACAACTAAAAAGGAAAACAGCAAAGGAGGAGACAAACTCAGCTGTGGACTTTCACCCAAGTGTAGAATAGTCCATTCTATCTTAAAATTGTCTTGACTTCCTCACCATTTAGATGGTCTGTAACTGCACAGTTTTTTCCCCTTTTTGGTTTGTAAGAGTCCTCAATTTGCCAATTGATGTTTCTGGTTCCCTGTTTACAATCTTGTAAGCTTCTTTAGTTTGAATACTTCCATAACTGGGTTGGTTTCTGGGTTTTGTCAACATGTGTGTTGATGGTCGGTTGTTGTTGTTGGTTCTCTGTTCAAAGGACTGCTTTTAGCAACTCTTGTAAGGTTGGTCTGGTTTTAACAAATCCCCTTAATTTCTGCTTAACTGGAAATGTCCCAATTTCACCATCGTATTTGAGGGACAATTTTGCCAGGTAGACTGAGACAGACTAGGAAGAAGGAATAGGCCGTCCACTTCTGAAAGGACTGGCCAGGGAAAACCTTATGAATAGCAAAGAAACACTGTTTGGTACATTACCGCGCACCTTTAAGAATAGTCCATTTAGGCTAAAAGGCTCTCAAAATAGGACTAGGAAAGAGCTGCAACATCTGAGTAAACCCAGCCTTACTCATATGGAAAAGAGAAAGCTTTC